TCACCATTTTCTCTAGTGCAATTCCACATCGCTGACATACCCACAAACCCCATCCACAGCCCAGGTATTTCCAGGGGACCTTTATATTGGAGCAGCCCATGTCCACTGTGAATCTACCTGTGCCTGAGTCCCAGAACAGCAATGTCTGAGTCAAAGGGGTTGGTGACCGTGTTGAAGGACTGAAGGAAAGATGGATGCTGTTACCACCGCAGGTGAGAATGCTTGCATACTTCAAAAGATAGGGGAAGTCCTAACCTATGCAAAATAGTCTCTGCCAATGTAACTAAGATATAAGGTGAGATTGCATCAGAGTAGGATGGACCATGTGTATGGAGTGTGTGCACAGATGCTCACATGCACGCATATGTGATTGTGGAGGAGGAGGATGGGCACCTCACTGTGTCACTTACTGCCTTATTCCACTGATGCCGTGTCTCTTGCTGAACCTGGAGCTAGACTGGCGACTGGCTATCCCTAGGAATCCTTTTGGTCTCTGTCCTTACAGCACTGAGGTTACCATCATGCCCAACTTTTTACATAGACACCGAGGGGTCAAACTCAGGTCCTCACGCCTGTGCGCCAAGTGCTGTTACCACCGAGCCTTCTCACCCCCTCCAAAAGGTAGATCCTTAATACAACTAGCATCATTCTGGAAAAGAAGCACCACAACCAAAGGCACGGAGAGTATCTATGACAATGGAGGCAGAGATTAGAATGACATGTTTCAAAGCTGACGCATGGAAGAAGGATTTGAGCAGCAAGTAGGGCCAGGGGAAAGCATGGCTCAGTCTCTCCCTGGATCTACAGTCACAACCGGCCCTACTGCCAACCTTGATCTTGCACTTCTGACCTCTAGAACTACTGGATGATAGGTTCCTGCTGTTTTTAAGCCCCCAGGCTGGTAGTCGGCTGTCATAGCCCCAGGAAACTGACTGCCGCTGCTGGAAATGTGGGATCTGTCCGCTGCTGCTGGCCCACATCCCCAGGGCACCCACTAAGCATTGCAGAGACTGCTCACTTTGCCTGTATTTGGTCACTTGTACCTTTAATCCATGTACAAAACTGTGAGGACTGGACCCAGGTGACAACTTGGCCTCGGGCATATGGACACTGTGTCCGTCACACAAGACTTTGGGTTGGACCTTTGACCCTTGTTGGCATGCCCTCTTCAAGAGCACACCTTGGAGAGGTATCATAGGCAAGAATGCACAAGAGCACAGGCTGGGCATTTCCAGTTGGGGTGGATTCAAACTGGCCAACTGTCTGCAGATGGCAAGTGCTTGTCCTAACTCAGGAATCATTTTCCCAGACCTCCTTGAATAATACTGTTGGAGTTTGGTCTGATGCTTGTCTTTTGATGCTAATTACTGGCCTTCAAGATATGGTTGCTGCCTGGATGCATCTATACTTGTTGTCTAAACCTTCCTAAGACATTCCTGATTGGTTGATTAAAGGGCCTAAAAACCTGGGCAGGGCCGAATGGGATAGGGATGGCTAAGGTTCCTGGGCTTTGGGAACAGGAGACTCACAGGAAGCAGATGGACAGACGGGAAGAAAAGAAGAAAGACGACAAGATGTTTTAGTGTGGAGAAGGAACCATGTGAGTAGGGAGAAAGGACTCCAAGAATGGCATGGAAAGGCACAGATGAAAAATATAAGCAAGTATTTATAAGATTATGGATGAAGGTAGCCCAGATAGGAATGGCTAAGGCAGATGGCATGGGATCAGGGCCGAGAGGCTATCTGAGACAGCCTAGGTGGAGTATCTGCCCAGCCTAAGGTAAAGAAGGCAATTATAAAATCTAACAGGTGTCTGTCTTATTGATTGTGACAGTAAATTAAATAATACCACCGAATTAAAAACAAAACAAAACAAAAATAATACCACCAAATTAAAAGAAACAAAACAAAAATAATACCGACAAAATAATTACAGGGTGAGTAAAAACATTATTCAGCCCAACACCTTTTTTACAACAAGATACTTTCAAGGTTTGAGGGAGGCCAGATGGACATAGAGCCATTGTCTCTTCCATCCTAAACACTGTGACCTGGAGCACCACCGCCCCAGCAGTGACCATCCAGGGACTTGGAAGGACCTTTCCATAAGCACCTGGGTGGTGCCTGTGTGGTTCCGCTTGGCAAGCTTAGGACAGAGACAGGGGCTCAGCTGTGCTGAAGACAGTACACACAGGAAAGGATGGTGGCAACTAGGAGGATGCTGGTTCTCTGAAGTGGTTTTCCCTACCCTTTTCTTGTTCTGAGCCTCTTCATCCAGAGAGAAAAGTCCCAACTCAGTGATGAGCCCTCCCTTGTTCTGAAAAAGCAGCACTCACACATGCTTTCCAACAAAGAGTCCTGCTCATTGTTTGTGGAGGCCATAATTATTTTGGAGCAGCTGCCACTGGACATTTCCCCTCAGCCCCCTTTGTATTCTCTCTAGCCTTCACTCTCTAAATCAAGCCTATATAGAGGAGAGAAAAATAAAATAAAAGAAGATAAAAAAAAACCTGGGTGCCTCTGGGTAAAAATCACCTTGAATCTCTTATTTTGTACAAAAATAATCCCTGCTTGCCCCACTCTGTGGAGGTGGTGGGGATGGGGTTTGATTTTATGGCCTAGGGCAAAATAGAAAACTGCCTAGCTCTTAGTTATATCTTGAGGCTCCTTTTACTTTTCATGTGACAGGGTCTTTTAAGGTTGCCCAGGCTGGTCTTGACACTTCTCTATAGCCCGTCTTTCAATCCCATCAAGCCTTCATCTTTCAATCCTCCTGCCTCAGACTCCCATGTAGCTGAGCTTCCAGGCCTGCACCACTAGGCCTGGCTCTTGCCCATCTCTGTGAAGAACAATCTGCCTTAATCCATACACTGGCCTTTCAATCCAGCCTGCCACTCAGCAGCATGCTTTGGGCTCTAAACCATCAGACATCCTGCTGATGCCGCCCTCTGCCCAACCTGTGTGGTCCTTTTGAGGACTTCCTTGTAAAATGCTCTCTCCCACCTGGGGGGGGGAGTTGGGAGTCCTCGGTCAGTCTATAGCTCACCTTTGTCTGTTGGCTGCAGTGGTTAGCACTGCAGCATCCTGCTTCCTTCCTCCACAGGGGGAGGACTTGGCACCAAGGAGCCTTCCCTACACTGAAGGCTTTGTCCCTTTCCCTTTGAGCATCTGTGTCCCAATGGAATGGCAGAAACCCCAGTTCCTTGGTCAGTTTTCTCCCTGGGGAATCAAGGATTCTTATGTAGATGAGTTACACTTGGCCTGTCTTGGTGGATGGCAGTGCTCTCCTGGGTAAGCAGGCCACCTTCTCCAACTCTTAGGCTCAGAGACCTGGACTTTTTCCAGGCTGCTTCTTCTTCCCAATTGTGCTCTGAAGCAATTTCAGAATGACATAGTTACTTTTATAGTAACCCACATATCTAGCCAGCATTGTGCGTTGTGTGTGTGTGTGTGTGTGTGTGGTATGGTGTGGCATGTTTAAAGAAATAAAGCAGGCTTCCAAAAGCTTTCAAAGAAATAACAAATGACTTTCTCTTTATAGTTCTTCACACCTCATGCTTTGCAGGGCAAATGGGGCTCTATTCCATTATGTCAAATAGTCAACTAGGATATTAAGAAATGGGCCAGTGAGACAGCTCTGTAGGTATGGAGTCTTGGCACCAAGCCTGACAAACTGATCGTTGGGACCCACCTGGTAGAAGATGAAAACTCCCATAAGTTCTCCTCCACTGTGGCACATGTGCACACACCACACTCATAGAAAAGAAATAAATATTTTGAAAAGAAAAATCATTTTAAAACGTCTGTCTTACATCCTGTTCATAAAGAGTTAATAGGTGGAGAGAGCTAGTGGGGCTTGAACTCTGAAAGCCGAACAGTCCATAGAACCTAGCCTCAGTTTGGAGCAGTTTTTCATCAAAATGACAAAGAGCGATATAACTACTCTCAACTCCATGGCCTAAATGTGAACCGTGGAAGCCGCCTTGGCCAGCTCCTGAATCTGCATAAGTAACTCATAGAAAATAAACAAAAGAGAAGCAGGAAAGACTGGCATTTGTATTCATATGTAAATAGTATATATAATCAAATAATATTTAAGAATAATGTTACTAAACATTAGAAAACATGAAGTTTTTCCAAATCCCTATTTTGCGAGGAAGCCCTTGATCAGGACAAGTCATAATTTTAGTGGTCGTCTTCAATGTCAGAACACAGAAAAATTCCCCAGACATGATTGTTCTCTGGAGTGGAGTTTTCTTTGTCTCTAGATCAGTGGTGTCAGAGCCACCTCAGGGACCTCTGACTCCATCCCCCCACTCCTCCTGTTGGAGAAGGTGGCAAGTGGGTCTTGGGGTGTTGCTAGCCAATGCCAGGGTGGCACAGAGTGAAGCATACATACCATACCCCTCAATGGAAGATGAAGGAAGATGGAGCCCAGGCCTCTAGGGCCCACCTGTAGAGAGACCAGAGCTTTCCAAGCTAAGTTCTCAGTGTGCTCAATCTATTGTGACCAACTGTAAGCTGGACAGTGAGTTCTGTGACTTAAGCCCCATGTCACTGGGGTGTGAGATAAGAGCTTCATGGTTTCCCAAAGGACCAGTAAACTTCCGCCAGGGACGGGTTGCACTTTCGTGAGAGCTGCTAATTGTTATCTGACTGATGGCTGTTGCTTCTGTAACAGGCAATCAGATCCACGTGATCAGAAAGCGGCATCAACCTGAGGACCACACTAAGCACCGGACCGGACACGGGCGTGGGCAGACTGGCATGGTGCCTCCTGGGTTTACGCCCACATGCTAACTTATGTGAAGGATCCGGGGAAGACAGGAGGCTGCATGAAGCCAGAGATAGATGGTAAAGGAAAAGGCATTGTTCTTGTGGGTGCAGGGGAGCATGTGTCGATGCCTGAAACTGGGCTCCCCGGAAAAGGCTAAGTTAGAGTAGTGACCTGAGCTGGTGAGAATCCACACACTGAGATCCGATTGCTCATAACTGCGAATTTCATTTATTTTTTATTTATTTTTTCTTTCAGCTCAGGGCGGCGATGAAGGCTTCTGCTACACAAAAACCTATGTGGCGCCCAGGGTATTATATAAGCTCTCGGCAGGAGGGGAGATAGTCCGGTCTGCGCGCTTCAGCCGCCGCAGTGGCAGCAGCCACAGCTCAGCAGCGGGAGCAGCTCAGGTTGATTTAGAACGCGGGTGACAGTGGCCTGGCGCGAGCGTACGGCTGACGACAGCGGCTGAGCCCGCTCGGTTTCCATGGAGACGGGCAGGAGCCGCGGCGGCGGCGCGGCTGTCAGCGAGCGCGGCGGCGCGCGCGCGGGGGTCTGCAGGAGGCAGGAGCAGGCCGGGGCCCTCGCCGCAGACATGGACTCGCATTGTGAGTGCGCCGCGGAGACGCCCGCCGCAGAGCCGCCGTCGGGGAAGATCAACAAGGCTGCGTTCAAGTTATTCAAGAAGAGGAAATCGGGGGGCACCATGCCCAGCATTTTTGGGGTCAAAAACAAAGGGGATGGGAAGAGCGCGGGGCCGGCGGGCATGGTGAGAAGCAGGACCCACGACGGACTAGCCGAGGTGCTGGTGCTGGAGGGCAGCAAGAAGGAGGAGCCGCCCGGCGGGGGCGATCACGGCGGGGCCCGGCCGAGCACCGTGCCCCCCAAAGCCGCCGGGCCTGGCCTGGGCTCCCTGGCCAGCAGCTCGGTAGCCAAGTCGCACAGCTTCTTCTCCCTGCTCAAAAAGAACGGGCGATCCGAGACCGGCAAGGGAGACCCCGCCGAGGCGAGCAAGGCTGGCGGCAAACAAAAGAGGGGACTGAAAGGGATCTTCAGCAGCATGCGCTGGCACCGGAGGGACAAGCGCGGCAAGGAGGAGGAGGAGAAGGCGGCGCGCGCGGCGGGCCCGGGAAGCCTGGTCCTGCCCGGCTCGCTCACCGCCAGCCTGGAGTGCGTCAAGGAGGAGCCGCCCCGAGCCGCGCGCCGCCCGGACAGCTCGGGCCAGGACGCCCCGCGACACGCAGCAGGTGAGCCCGCAGGGGGAGAGCAGGCGCGCGCATCTGCCGAGCGCGTCCCGGCGCGGACCTGCCTCGAGGCCGCGAGCCCCTCCGGCCCTGGCGACCAGAGCGCCCGGGGAGAGGACGCCGAGGGGCATCGGCGCGCGGAGAAGCCCGGGGCAGCCCTCGAGTCGGGAGCCGGTGAGGTCCAGGAGGCCGAGGATGCGTCCAGGACAGGTGACGTTCCGATAAAGACCGTCCCCCTTGTCGACTCCGAAGGTGGCAGCGGCCGGGCGTCTGCCGTCCCTGACCCTTCCTCTGTTGATCCACCCTCAGACCCGTCGGCAGATCGTATTTGTTTGATGTTTTCTGACGTGACTTCACTGAAAAGCTTTGACTCTCTTACAGGCTGTGGAGATATTATTGCAGACCCAGAAGAAGAGGCAGGCCCCAGCTGTGACAAGCATGCCCCCGGGCCAGGCAAGCCAGTTCTCTCTAAAAAGAACCCCAGCGTGGTGGCCTACCAAGGAGGAGGGGAGGAGATGGCCAGCCCGGACGAGGTGGACGACACCTATCTCCCGGAATTCTGGGACATGTTGTCCCAGAGTGAGGACCAAGGACAAGGACCCCAAGAGGGCGCGGCGAAGGCCGCCACCGCCTTGGACACCAAGCTGGCCCCTGAGACCTCCGCTGATGCCCGGTGTGGGGAGGTGGACAAGGATGTGTCCTCGGTCAAGCGCAGGAGGCTCCACAGGATCCCCATGGAGTCCCAGCAGAAGGAGGAGCCCAAACAGCCAGAGAAGGAGCATCAAGAAGGCGGCGTCCCTAACAGCGACGAGGGCTACTGGGATTCCAACACTCCTGGCCCAGAAGAAGAGAGTGCCAGCAGCAGCAAGAAGGTGGCCATTGCTAGGGACAGCGACAGCGGCGATGCTCTCTACGACCTTTATGCGGAACCCGAAGGAAGTCCAGCCCCTCTTCCTGCCACGGAGGACCCCCCCTGCTTGTCCCGGCTAAAGCCCGTGTCTCCAGGCACCATCACCTGTCCTCTGAGAACACCAGGCAGCTTGCTGAAGGACTCTAAAATCCCGATTAGCATCAAGCATCTCTCCAACATTCCGTCCAGCCATCCTGTGGTGCACCAGCAACCAGCCAGGAGTGAGATGCCCAGAACAAAAATCCCTGTTTCCAAAGTGCTGGTCCGGAGGGTCAGCAACCGGGGCTTGGCTGGAACCACCATCAGGGCAGCAGCATGCCATGACAGTGCCAAAAAGTTGTGAGGTCTCCAAGGCCAAGGAGGATGGATGGGCCATATGTTAAGGAATACAACTTTCCCCTGGAAACCAATGAAGGAAGTTTGTTTTCCCCAAAGCCAAGACTTAGACCCACCCTTCTCCATATGGCCTAGAAGTCTTTGTTGCAGGCAGGGGCAGGACAGCCCGCAAATGTTACACCTGGAGTTCAGATAAGTTTCTGAGAAGTCTTTTCTAGCACTTTCCTTTTTCTTTTAACCTTTAAAAAAAAAATCTTTTCCCCCTTAAATCACGGATCACTCAGAAGTCACCTTTTCTTGCCTTTGCAGAAAATAAGATTCAACCAGATCTAATTAACAAACAAACAAACAAACAAACAAATAACACCAAGCTACCAGGCTTTTTTAGAGTCAGGAGGGCCTTGAGGAATCACTAAACAACAGGATTCTTGCCTCTCTTTCCAATAAAAATAAACGGGGAGGGGTGACTTTGCTTTATCCTTATGTGGAAAACACCTGAAAAGCTCAAAGATCCATGTAGCTATGTGATGAGTCGAAGGGACTGCTGATTGGTAGAAAGTCCCTCGGCTTCCGGTTGCCAGATATGCAAATAGGTAAAGCTCTATCTCTAGAAAACAGAGAAGGTTTGGCTGGTTCAGATCATTTGTCTGAGGAGAAATAAAAAGCTCACTAGTAGTTTATGTGTTTTTGTTTGTTTGTTTGTGTATTTTTGGATCCACCCCTCCCTCTCGGTGCAAAATTCAGGATCAAGGAAAGATCTCACTAAATGCTAATTATACGGTATTTTGATGTTTGTAAATGTCAGCCTTCTTCTGTGTCGCTAAAGCATATTTTACAGTTTATCTCATGGCTAACATTTTACAGCCCGTCAATTATATAGAATTTAAAGTCCAGTCTTATAGCTGGATATGATAATAAATCATTGAGGTTCTTTATGTACCGTAGCCTGGGGCAGTGCAGCTTTTGATTTATTAGGGTTTTTTTACACACACACAAACACAAACACAATACAAATGTATTGTATTATATACATATATGTATAGGATTGATGCCCTTGAACAATGGTTTGCTTGGTCTTGGTTAAGAGTCTGTTTCTCAGCCCAAACCAGAGATTTTTACCTGGTTTATAAAATGTTGGATCCAACCATTTCCCCAAATATAGGAAGTCCAAAATGAACATTCCAAGAAATAATAGAAAAATACAAGTTTAAAACTATTGACTTTTGCTATATAAACCTATTCCTGAGACAAGTATGTTCTTCACATGATACTACCAAGCCTAAGTGTGTAAACATTCTACTAAATTATCTTTTGAGAAGCAGTTTGGTTCGATATATGCTTTCTAATATTTCAGATGAAAGGTTGATGCCTTGGCAGTTTGAATGACACAGTGAAGGGCTTCCTAGAATGCTATTAGTGTCTGCTGATTAAACTGATATCCTTCTGGGGATATGCACTTCAGAGCATCTCAGAGGGCCGGAGCTTCTACCAGAGGTGCTGCCGCCCACCAGGGAGATGGCACAGATCCCAGGGACCCTGCATGTGTGTGAATGATATGAGCACAGTGTAATTTGAGTTCTAGAGAGATGACTAAGAAATGGTCTGCTATTTTGTGTTTTAAGATTTTAGTTATATTTTATAAAAGAAAAAAAGAAGCTAAATATATGAAAAACTTATTTTAATAGTACGAAGGAAGCAAAAATAAGTGGGCATCGAGGAAAAGTTGATAAGGCATAGAGGAGTGTTTCCGTTTGTGATTTGTAGCTATTCCCTCAGAGGAGGGGCCCTGCTGCATACCTTAGTTGGTCAGGTTGCTGACTTTTACTGCATTGTCTCAGGTCCTTGATGCTATCTCAAAGCAATGCTTTAAATTTTAATTTCCCATGTCTCTAGATGAGACCCTCTCTGTCCTCATCACCCTAAGCACTCTGGACTCATTATCAGAAACCGCCCAAGCATCTCACATGCTCAGGAATTCATCTGGACAAAAAACAACAGACAAAAGACATCTCAAAATACTTGAGATTTGGCAATATTTTGAAAATCATCTCTGCCCTTGAGAAGAGACTTTAAATTTGAATAATATTGATAGAAATATTTAGACCCTCAAATGCAGTTTCTTTCCCCCTAGAACTGGAGAGAATATAGATTTTGCTTCTAGCAGGAAACAAAGGAGCTTTTTTTTTCCTTGTGCTTTTCCCTGCAGAGATTATATTTATTCACCTTTGCATGACTTCGTGGCTGGGTTTCGTCTGCTCCTGCTCAGCTGTGTAGGAAAGGCAGCAAAGGAAGAATGGGGTCAGACACTGTCAGAGGAATGGCAGCTGGCTACTGAAGTAGCAGGAGCCACTCTTCCAAATGCTCTGCCTTCACCCACTATGCCATCCTCTCTTTGTGAGTGAAGAAAAATTTTAGCAAGATTTACTTTAATTTTCCCTGGAAACTAATCACCCACAAAAGACTTACAAAGGTTTTGCTTACAAAATTCTTGTCACCACACTTTTTTTTTTCCTGATTTTTATCTTTTACCCTGAACATGTAAGAACAGCAGCCATTCCAGTCAAGTAAAGGACTTGGCCAGGAATTAAATGTCCTTAGTCATTAGCAAGTGGGACAATAGTCAGCCTTCTCCAAACACAGAAAAGGGATCAGAGTTGCTTTCTTGTGCCAAGGGTTACTTTATCTTCAATGCAAGACATTTCTAGATTTGCAGGCAACTGTTTATGAATCTGTTATTGAATAGTCTGGTGAGGACTGCACAGAACTTTTGCTGGTTTCTTTTGTTTTGTTTTGTTTTGTTTTGTTTTTTAGATAAAGGTCGGACATGAACAAATTATGCTTTCTTGGTATGTACAGTTCTAAGGTCCATTGGTTTGGCACCCTTGGGGCAAAGAACTGCCTAAAAGGAAAGGAGGAAAGGGCAAAAAGCCAAAGCCATTGCTGGGAAAAATTTGTCAGTTTAATGGCTCTGCACAAAGACAACCTGTATTTGAGATATCTACAACACCACACACACACACACACACACACACACACACACACACACACACTCAACTTAAAGCCAATCTAGCCCTGCTTTGATTCTGCCGGCAGTGGGGCTTATTCTCCTTCACCAAGAAGTGGGAGACATTTCTGTTTACTACAGCATTTCAAATAATCACAAGAGGAAATACATTTTTATTACTTCATGTAATAGTAATGGAATACAGATCATCAGGACTTTCTTGAGATGCATTTTGCACAAACGTCTGCCTACTGACATGCAAATATACATTCCTTGTGTAACCTGTGCAGACGATGTCTTGCACATTTTTCATTCATTGAAATTAATATGCAAGGAGCCCCTTGCTGATTCATTTGTCAAGGTCAAAAGTCTCTGTCAGCTGTTATGATTTCTCTGACCAAACTTTCTAAGAGTTTTCATTGCTGCCATCTCTCTGGTCTACTTGGGGAAGCTCCTCACCGAGAGGATTATCAGAAGAGGTTGACTCACGTGGCTTTATCTCTCCCTTTGTTTTCAGCATAGTTGTTCCCCATGTTGTTGGCCTTCTGGATTGTGTTAATATGCTTTGCTGCTTCCTTGCTTCCAAGTCATTGCAGATTGTCTGCCTTGTACTGGGAGTGTGAGGCCTTGGCTCACCTCCACTGAGACATCTTCTTAAACACTTGTTTCCAGGGCATGTACTGTATCTACTACTTAATTTTAAAAAATCCAGTTGGGGGCTTACATGTTGCTGTGCTGCCATTGGATTTTCCCAGTGTTCATTAAACCCATGTCCCCTTTGCATGTCTTGCATTTGTGTGCATCACTTATAGTTTGCACGTTGGAGCAGACTGGGGGTGGGGGAGTAAATCAAGCCACACAGGTGCTTCTAAAACTTCTGACAGTAGCCAACGCTGGCTCAGCTCTCCTGGGCAAGGGTTGCTGGAAACACTATTGAGAGTTTCTCCTTCCTCTTCACAGCCATATGAGGTGAAACTGTCTCCCTGGTAGGACTTGAATTCAGATTTCTTGTTCCTTTTGACCCTTTCACTGCACTCTCTCTCTCTCTCTCTCTGCACTTCCCTCTTTCCTTAGTCTCTAGGGGTAGGCTATAAACTGTTTAATGTTCTGGGGTAACACAGAGCTAAAAGCTGCTGAAACCATTGGCCTCACTTCACTTCTAACAGGAAAAGCCAACTCACTTCCAAACTGATAAAATGAGCCTTGTGTCTGAGACATTGGTGCTTGGGTCACACACAGGAAAACCTGCAGCTCCCTGTTCCTTTGTGGGCCATACGCAAACAATTGGCTTCCTCCTCTTTGGAGCACCCTCTCCTTCTAGAGATTAACAAGGAAAGTACAGACAGAAGTCTCTTCTGTTGTCATGGCAACACTTCTTCCCTGAAAGGATTTTGCCCATTCCAGGCACGCTTCACTTGTTTTCCTACCTTAAGCCTAGACTAGTCTTGTTCTGAGTATTCTGTGTATTTTCATTGTAGTAAGAACATTCAGCATGAAGTCTGCCCTCTTCAATTTGTACATGTACGACACAGTTCACACAGCTGTAGGCACACTGCTGATGGCGTGAATTCATGCAGCCTGAATAACGGGCACTTGATTGCTCACTGATCAGCAGCTCCCTGTGCTCCCTTCCAACCCTGACAACCACCATTCTGTAGACTGTTTTAGATACCTCAGAAACGGTGGGACCTGGTAGATTTTGTGCTTTTATGACTTGCGCATTTACCTGAGCATAGCACCCCCAGGGGCAACATCCACCTTGTCATGTATTTAGTCCTCCCTTTCTGGCTGCCAATTTCATTGTGCCACACATATACCGCATTTTATTCGTCTAGCCACCTGTCAACAGACATGATACTGTGAATAATGCCCCAGTGTGCATGAGACTAGAAAAAGCTTTTCGAGATTCCGACCTCAAGGCCTTTGATATAAATACCCCGAAGCAGAATTGCTGGGCCATACAGGAATTTTATTTCTGAAGCCTTTGAGGACCGTTTATACTGTTTCCCACTGCAGATGCGCCATTTTGCACCCCTTACAGCAGTTCACATGGGCCCAGTTTCCCCACCATCAACTTTGGTCTGTTGTCTGCCTAAACAGGGAGCAGCTGAGTTGTCCTTGTCCTGGTCCAACTCTGAATCCCAGATGCAAGTATCTTCCTTGTAAGCCATCCATCCTCAGTGGCCCTGGGATCTCGATTTACCTTTTCCGTTTCATTAACTCACTCAACTGATGTTTACTGAGCACATCCTATCATTTCCTGGCTAATTCAGCTAGCCTCCACAGGCTGTGTTTTCTGCAGTGTTTAGAGATGAAGCAAAACACTTGTTGTCCAGTGTTATCTTCATAGCTCACAAGAAGCATGCCCGGTTTGTTTTGGCTTCATTTTCCAGAGGAAGAAACTAATTCTTGAGATGGTTGCAGATCATTGAGGCCCGAGTCACTCTGTGAATAACGGGGGCAGAGTTTGAACCTGACTCCGAAACCCAGGCTTTAATTGGAGATTTGCTTTTGTTTTTTTCAGCCAACACTCACCTTTTGAATTAATCATTTAAAGCAAGAAACCAACTGAAGTTCCCAACTATAAGAATCAAACTCCATTTTTATGATGGTAGATGCCATTTAAATGATGATTTCAAGTAAAACAACTTGGTTTTTAAATAGCCATCAACAGCTTTCATTAAAAAAAAAATCTGCATTACAAGTCTAAAAGGTTAAACAAGCCAGCTTTTTTTCCTAGCTAGGCTGGTTAAAATTTGGGGCCATATCCTCCAGTTCTTTAGATTGTACTTATGAACTGTATAATCTTATCTCTGTTTTGCCAATAATATAGCCAGAAAAGCAATTTCAGTGGGGAATCCATTAGGCTTTGCTGTGGTTTCCTTTCTCTTTGATCCCAGTGAGAAGCTTTTCTCAGTATTTAGGGAAAATCAGTTCGAAACTGCATCAGTGTCACAACTAATGAGATTATTTTGTTCGTACACATGCCACCCACCTTTGGTCAACTTGTCCCCTGCCTCTGTGTAGTAATGGCACACAGTGGGCGAATCAATGCGAGCTCTTACCCCTTTGGACTGTAGGCCAGCAGATGTTGGGGGGGGGGTTAATAATGAACTTTCTCCTCTATACAAGAACACATATTTCTAATGCAGCCTTGGTTCCTGGTTCTTGAGATGCACTCAGACATCTTCAAATCTGGGTCACTTAAACGAAAGTAGAAATACTAGAAACACATTTGGCCCAGGGGCCCAGGGGCATGGTGGGTGAACACAGCACTGTCACATAGGTAGAATTAACCAATGCTCCTAACTCCTAATTGAGAACTACCGAACAGTGCCGTCGCTTCCAGAATAAACTTTTAGCCGAGCTGATCTGATTAATAGTGGTGGATTTAAGAAGATAGCAGTGAAAATGGCTCTGACTTGTAACCCCGTGGGTTTTGTTTGTCATCAGCGACCCACTAGCCTCTGGTGAACGCCTGTCTGATTCCCATACAGCATCTCAGTGCATAGAAGGAAGTGCAGGTTCTTCAGCAGCAGTGACTAAGGAAAGCCAAGCAGAAACTCCACTTCTCTAGCAGTCTTCCTGACAGGAGAGCCTCTGAGGACAGGGCGTGGCTGCATCGTTTCTGTGCACAGGAGAATTGTTAGTAACTGGTAGGTTTGTAGATATTATTTTTATACTAGAATGTTAATCTCCTGAAAAACATCAAACATTAGCCTCCTAGAGTGAACTCTATGCTTTCCAAACCTACTTCAAAGAAGGGTTCTAAACACCACTACGGTCCTTTTTCCTTCACCACTCCAATGGTCTAATGGAATAGATGAATCAATGTTTATATTTTTAAACCTGTAAATATTTTTATTTTGAATATTTTGTATATTTGTTGATATAATTCCATTTTGTGCATATGTACTACTGTGCATGCTGCTGGTTTTGATAGTCACTCTTTTAACAAATGTAAACAGGTTGAACTAATGGGCTCTCTTTCATTCATCTTACAATGAAAATACAATGTTGCCATTTTAACTATTGTGTTTAAATTTGGTCAATAAATTCTGTTGCTCCTTTGCAGTTAAATCAAATTCTGTTGGCTGTTATTTTTCCAGGACAGTTTTTTTTCCCCCTAGACTTTTAAACTTTTTAGGACTTATATGAATGACAGTGAAATATGTGTGTGTGTGTGTGTGTGTGTGTGTGTGTGTGTGTGTGTGTGTGTGTGTACAAATGCTCAGGAGCTCATGAGTTTTTGCATGTGAGTGATAGGTGTGTGTGATGACTGTGTGTACGTGCATGTCTGTGATGCACCTCTGTGCATAAGTGTGAAGATGTGTGATTTGCATACGTGTATTGTGTGGTTTACGTGTGAGATGTGTGGTTTGTGTGTGAGTGTGTGATTCGTGTGTGTGACTGAGGTGGACACACCAACGGGAGGCCCATGTTTCTTTCCACACTTTGTAAATCGTTTCTGAAAATTGTTTACTTTAGACAGCTGCCTTTTGAAAAATGTGCTTGTTCTCCATCCCGGCTCTGGAGCCTTCTATTGGGAAACTCTCTCTGCCTATAATCCCCTGTGAGACCAGCTAATCTGTATGACTCTTAGGTAACATTCAAAATAAGGTCACAGATATCCTTCCAGAGTTGCTTTCCGTTCACTTTGTGTTTGGTGGCAGATTGTCAGTTCCTGTATGTTACATCTCCAAATTCACAGAAGCTGTGTGAAGAGTAACGAAGATGTAACATTTTGTGTTGAAAAGTAAGAATGGAAGGCCTTGAATGTTGAAGTGCATCTCCCTTCAAACAGGTTTGTTTGTGTCATTTATGCTTACAGTTTTCTTAAATGACGGAAAAGTTAATGTCTATCTACAGAACATGATGCAGAAATAATAGAAATGTTGATGATGATCTGGTTATACAACAGGAGAGCAGTAACAGTGGGTAACAAGTTCACAAACATCTTTCCCTTTCTCCTGCCCCTCCCTTTCCTCTCAGCCCACTGTCTTCCATTCTTATCTTTTTTTCCTGGAAATAATTTGAAAGAAACATCCCTTTAAGAAGGCAGTGGGGAACCTGAAGTTCAGAGATGCTAAGATTAGACTTTCCCTAAAGTTACAAATAGCTGTGAAGTAAACAGTGAAACTCTATGGATCTGATTTCTGTTATTGTAACAAAATAGCTGAGGCTCGGTACCTGCAGAGAAGTTTACCTAGCTCACAGTTCTAAGGTCTAAATGTGAGAGCTTTGCGATGAACAGCCTCCTACCACAGAGTGTGTACTCAAAGCATGCAGAGATAGATTCAGGCTGGGGCTGGATAACTCCGGCTTGGCATCCCAGCACTCAGGAAGCTGAGGCAGGAGGATCACCAGAGTTCCACACCAGCCTGGTGGACCAGCTAGATAAAGAACCGAAGAGTAAACTTGTAGACATATAAGTAAGACATAATGTGCTGGGCTGAAGAAACAGCTCAGTGGTTAGAAGCTCCTGCAGCTGTTGCAGGGACCTGGGTTCAATTCCCAGCATTTACACCAGCCAGTTCACAACTGCCTGTAACTCAAACTCTGAGGGACCCAACACACTCTTCCAGCCTCTCTGGGCACTTACATGCATGTGCTGTTCATACATACATCCAGGCATATACACATACACGTAAATGAAATTTCCGAACGTTTTATTATATGTAGTGGAAGTTTTGGTTTCTTTAAAAACTCAGTTTTGTCATGTAAACAAGTTTTTGTTTTAATCCTAAGTGTGGGATATGGGACCACCTTAGTTTATCCACAGCTGATAACAACCTCGTTCGACTCAGAGGGACTCGGTCTTTGCCAACTGGAGATAGTGGAATTTCAAGGACTCTGGAAAGCATAAATACCAAAGCCCAGAGAGAGGAAGAGGCTTTGAGGAGCCAGACAGAGAGAGAAGAAGGCTTCTGGTTCTGTGGACTGATGGAGATCTTGACAACTGAGATTGGTGTTTTCCCAAAGAACTGGATGACCCTAACCAACTGGAACTAAGTCTAAAGAGTTTTATGTCCCATCTCTCCTAACCTTCTTTCTCTCCTACTTGGGGTGGGGGTAGGGGGAGGCTGGAAAAGAGGTAGGGAGCTAAGAAACCCAAATAGAGTTTTAAAACGAGCATCTACAATAACATCTGAAAATAATAAGAGAAAACAGAGATACTTTATTCAAAAAGACAAAAATTGGTTCTTTTGTAAAATATCTGACAAGAAAAAAAGTGGGGCTAGAAAGACGTTTCAGTGGTTATGAGTACTGACTTCCAGAGGACTTGGATTCTATTCCCAGCAGCCACATGGCAACTCACTCTGACCTCAAACTTCAGAGATCCGCCTGCCTCTGCCTCCCAACTGCTGGGATTACAGGCGTGCCACCTGACTAACCCACATGGCAGCTGCAACTGTAATTTCAGAAACTCCGACTCCCTCTTCTGGCGCTGAAGGCACAGGCACGAACATGGTTCACAGACACACATTCAGGCAAAACACCCATAAAACAAAAATAAACCAATCTCTGGAAAGAAATTTTACCATAAACCAGTTTCAATGAAAAAAAAAATGTTCTTCATACAACATATTCTGATCACTCCTTGCCTTCCCCAACTGCTCTCAGATCAGACACACTTTCTCTTTAGAAAACAAACAGGCAAACAAATATCAAAAAGAGAGAAACACAAGAAACAACACAAAATCAGAAACCATAATATACAAGCAAAAGGCCAGTAAGGGGGAAAAAAGACCAAACAAAACAACATGAGAGAAAAAGTCTACAAAATCACCATTGACTTCATTTACTGCGGGCCGTGGGGCCCAGCCATGAGACACCATTGGAGAAAGCTCATGTTTCATTTACAAGTGGCTCTCTGTTGGAGATGGAATGGAGATGTGTGTCCACTTCTCCTTTCTGCTCCAGGTGCCCCACCTGGTGCAGACGCTTGGAGGCCTGTGCTGGCTGCCACAGCCTCTGTGGGTTCATAGGTGAATAAGTCCTGAAAAAAATTTATTTTTAAAAAGAGGATATAAATTCAGAATGAGATGGTTGTAGGGAGATAAAGTATAACAGAAGTTGGTTATAATTGTGCAAATTATATTTAAATTGTGCAACATGTAAAATAGGCTCAGATTTTTAAAAAAATTCTAAATGCACACACTTGCACTCAAGCACATGCAAAGTTGGACAAGATGGTACGCATCTGTAATCCCATTGCTCCCGTGAGGAAATGGCAAAAGAATCAGTTACCCTGGTGTATGATCTGGTAAACAAGAGGCTCAAAGTAGAAGGTAAGGGCACCCAAAGTTATTCTCTGACCTCTATACATGCTTTGTGGCAGGCGTGTATCCCCCTCACACACATGAGCACGAATATGTGTGTGATCATCTACACACACACATTTAAAAAGAGAAAAACATGGAACTGAATTGTCTGTAAAGCTAACACGCCATCATAGCTAGCTTGGGCTAACTTCAGAAGTGTAAAGATAGATTACCACTTTTTAAAACTCTGTTAGAATTTGCCTTTTAAAGAGATAGGAGGGAAACTGGTATGTTAGAGCCGTCAAGTCACCACCGGGTGTCGGCTTATTTCCCTTAGCCACTCCACAAGTCGGATGCCTCCTCCTTCCTGTGCTCTGAAGCCACAAGCTCCCAGGACAGTAAGTTGCTTCAACTTTTGAATGCTTTGACTCCTAACATTTTTTTCAAATAGCAGTTGCTTATATTTCATCTAAATCTAAAATGCTATAGGAAAGATGCTGTCGATTAGAACTGTAAGATAGCACCATTTGGAAGAGTCGCCAAATTTTGGAGACACAGAAATTGTGAAATGTGTGTATTTAAAGGCTGCAGTAACAGTGTGTGCACATGCATGTTTGGGCGTGTGGACGCACATGTATGGAGCCTGGAGGGCAACCTTGGGTGTCATGCACTGTCTAGCTTTTTGTTCATTTCTTTGGAGATGGGTATCTCGCTGGCCTAGAGATCGTCAAGCAAGCTAGGAGGGCTAGCCAGTGAGCCCCAGGGATCTGCTGGTCTCTGCCTTCCCAGTGCCAGGATTACAAGGTTGTGCCACCCCACCTAGCTTTTCCTTTCTACTTTTTAAAATGTGGGTTCTCGGGATTGAACTAAGGCCCTCATACTGTTATTAGGCGTGGTGCATTACTGACTGGGCTGTCTCCCTAGCCCTGTTTGTTAAAAATTTAATGGTAACGTTCTTCCTTATCTAGAGAGTAGAAGTTTCTGTGGGAAGATAGTTGCTTATCCGTACTGAGTGGGCAGACGTTCAGAACATCTTCAGTTTAGTTCGAGCGCCTGCGTTAGGAAAATTGTGGTCTGCTTCTCGTCCACAGCACTGCACACGTCTTAGCACGTGAACATGAAGGAACAGGAACGTGCGTGTGGCCATCAAAATGAGCTCACTTCCGAGCGAACGGCACGCATGCTGGACACCTTGCCTTCCCAAGATGGCAGGCAAGCTTATAGCGACCATCTTGTCATTTTTGTCTGTCAGCTGCTGGCACCTCAGTGTTTCCCAGAAGACCCCAGGTTCTCGAAGTCCCAGATCTTGTGTGGTTTTGCAGATGGTGATGTGTTTTTAACAAGCTCCCAGCTCCTAATCTGGCCCATGGGACTGCATTTCTGAAGCCTGGTGCTACAGCTTGCTTTCTCAGCCTCTCAGATATGCCAGAGGCCCGATGTGCTGACTGTGCCCATCTTTATGTGCCTTTCTAGGTGGTCCAAGGGAATTTCTGCTTTTCTACAGTGGGTGGAGAGCCCTATTTACCAGAAAGTACAAGCCTAACATTTGGTTCAAGAACAAACTGGCCTTCTGAGAGTGACATTTTCCAGTCTGTAGATCTTTAAGTGATGTCAAATGCTATGTAGTGTCCCCAGCTTGAGGACTGGCACATTTTAATCGATTGCTTTGTTTCATATCAACATTACTGCTTTTTATCTGCCTTTTTGCTTTATGCTTAGGGGTTTTTGCAGAATAAAGTATTTGTCCAGTCGGTCTTTGTTTCTGCTTTCTGAGAGAAAGCCTGTAAGCCTTTGGAACTTTTCAGGGGC